ACGTGCGGAGAGCGTTCGTGGAAGTAGAAGCCGTCGTCGGCCGGGGGCAGGCAGTTGATGCGGCGCAGCTGGGTTCTAGAGCACATCGGCCCAGGAGGTATTGGCAGAACGGGATCTCATAAGCAGGCTTACGTGACGCGCTGGCTCAGATGCAGCGGCCGGAACCTAGGCTGGTTAGCGACATCCTGGGCCCCAACCGTCTGCCCGTGCCTGTCACGGCGCCGGATCACCCGTCCCAATACCAATGCAATGTGCCGGGGAAGTCGAGGCAGGCGCTGCCAACACTCGTGTCATACGTTGACGCCTACAGATTCGTGATGGAGGGAGACCTGCCGGGGCCCGGGATGATCTACGACGTCATCGGGAAGAAATGGGAGCAACCCACTGCAGAGGAGCGGGAGTTAGCCATGGGGCATCAACTGGGAGCTACCGCTCACCCCCGAGTGACGGAGCCACAGAGGAGGGCGGCGCTGGGCCGGGCCATGGATCTGAATGTCATGACCTGGCTAGTGGAGACCATCCGCATGCATCTGAAGCGGAAAGAGCTCCAACGCGGTATAGAAGTTAGCGAGCTGTACCAGGAGGGAGAGGAAGCGGAGCAGAGGAAGCGCAAATTGAAGGCAATAGAGGAGCAACAAGAGGCACGCATCCTGGAAGGGTGGGCCTATATGGCAGTGGAAGCGCGGGAAGGAGCAGCCGACCAAGGGGTACTGCCGCCTGACGGGGAAAAGAGCGTAACAGCCGAGAAGCCAACCCAGGAGAGGGGCCCTGAAGACGCCTGGCCCATAGGCACAGGAATGGGGGCAGAGGCGGCCCAGGCATTACAGGAGGTGCTGAAGCAGCACCGGAAGACGTTCGCCTACACGTTAGCCGAGCTGGGGCAATGCAACTCTCACCAAATGCAAGTGAAGTTGACTACGGAGATGCCCATATACCAGAGGAAACGGAGAATGAGCCCAGGCGACTTGGACATCTGTCGGGAGAAATGCGCTGAGCTGTTAGCGGCAGGCCTCATCCAGATCTCGGACAGTGATTACGCGGCGGCAACCGTGGTAGCTGCGCGGAAGGATCTCACCGGGGAAGTGTCAGCAAGGAGGATGTGTGGGGACTACCGGGGGCTTAATAAGGTGACGGTGGCAGACCGGTATCCCATGCAATCGGCGGAGGAGATATTCGATCGGCTACAAGGAGCGGTGGTATTCAGTACGCTGGACCTCAGGCAAGGATTCAATCAGATACCTATCAAGGAGGAGGACCGGAAGAAGACGGCTTTCCATGGGCCCGATGGGCTATACGAGTGGAAGTTCATGCCCTTCGGCATGAAGAATGCGCCAGCACTATTCCAGAGAGTGATGGACTCCGTGCTGAGGAACGTACCCGCGGCCGCCTGCTACATCGATGATGTAGTAGTGTTCAGCGCATCAGCCGAGCAGCATGTGAAGGACGTGAGCGATACGTTAGCAGCCATTCGAGCCGCAGGACTAACATGCCACCCTGAAGAAATGCAGCTTCGGGAACAGCACGGTGAAGTACCTGGGCTTTGAAGTGCAAGGGGGGCAGCTGAGCATCCAACAGGCGAAGGTGGAAGTGTTGGATCGAGTACCTGCTCCTAAGGACCGCAGTACGCTGAGGGCCGTGTTGGGCTTCCTAAACTACTACAGGAAGTTCGTACCCAACTTCAGCCGCACTGCCTCAGTACTGAACAGGTTGCTGCGAGATGAACACGCGTGGAAATGGGGAGAGGAGGAACAGGGAGCATTCAAGGCCCTCCTCAAGGCTGTGAAGACCGGGCCATTCCTCACCCTGCCCAGCAAGGAGGACCCGTTTATACTCTACACCGATTGGAGCAGTGCAGGCATGGGAGGCATTTTGTGTCAGGAAAGAGACGGACAAGAGATGGTCGTGGCATTTGCGAGCCGGAGCTGTAACCCAGCGGAAGCAAACTACAGCTCGTACGAGGGGGAAGGGCTCGCGGCAGTGTGGGCCATCACCCATTTCCGGGTGTACCTACAAGGGAGGCCGTTCGTACTAGTCACGGATCACCAGCCGTTGACCTGGCTGATGACCAACCAGGCACTGACGGGCAGGAACGCCAGATGGGCAATGCGACTGCAGGAATATGAGTTTACTATACGGCATCGGGCCGGGAAGACGTTGCAGCACGTGGATGGGCTCTCGCGTAACCCGCCACCCACAAGCCCAGAGGCGTGTCTGGTAGCGTTAGCAAGAGAGATCGATGGGGAAGGAGCCAAACGAAAAGCACAAAGGGGAGCTGAAGACATCTGGGAGGATGAGGAGACCCTGCGCTGGATCCAAGGAAAGACTTCGGAAGCAGAGCCAGTGAGCGAGAGGGCCAGAGCCAGAGGGCTGCATTATCGGTGGTACCAGGACCAGCTGCAGAAAACTACTAAGGAAGGGTGGAAGCTGGTCCCGAAGCGAGAGGAGCGGGAAGGGATAATAGCAAAGGTGCATCGGCAGCTGGGGCACTACGGCAGCTTACGTACAAGCCAGTTAATAGAGACAGGCTGGTGGTGGGCCGGGATGAGAGGAGACATTAAGGAGTGGGTGGGCTCCTGCGAGTTGTGCAGCAGGAACAAAGCGGAGCTAGAGAGAGGAAGGGAAGAGCTGCACTCGCTACCTATCAGAGGCATAGGGTTCCGGTGGTCACTGGACTTGGCTGGAGAAATGCCGCTCAGTCGGAGGGGAAAGAGATTCATCCTCATCATGATCGAGCACGGCAGCAAATGGGTGGAGGTTAAGGCGCTGCCTAGTAAGAGCTCGGCCAGGATCGCTGAGGCATTTGAAGATCAAGTGCTGACTCGGTTCGGGGCCTGTGGAGAAGTGTTGACAGATCAAGGCACTGAGTTCTTGGGAGAATTTGAGAAGCTGCTGAAAGCGAGTGGCATTACCCACCGACGGACATCACGGTACCACCCGCAGAGCGACGGGCTCACCGAGAGATTTGTGCAGACGGTGAAGAGGGGGTTAAGGGCTTACGGGGAGCAATTCAAGAGGGACTGGGACGCGCGGCTCCCGTGGGTGGTCGCAGGCTACAGATTCAGTAAGCAGGCGGCATTAAAGGACTTCTCCCCTTACTACTTGCTGCTGGGGAGGGAACCCATCCTGCCCGTAGACGCGCCAAGGCTACTGACGGATGTAGTCATGGTCAACTCAGAAGACGCATGGGTGGGGCTGGCGGAAGCAAGAGCAAGGTACCTGCGGGAGATGCAGCCAGCGGCATTGGAGAACTTGCAAGTGGCACAGCTCAGAGATGCACAGCGCTACAAACGAAGGAAAGAAGGACAGGCAGAGCCGAAGGGGCCGCAGCTGGGAGTGGGGGAGGAAGTGTATGTCAAGCAAGCGAGGCAGGACATGCTAGACATAGGGCTAAGCACAGAGAGATGGAAGGTGAAGGAGGTCAAGGAGTCGGGAGTGGTGGTGCTAGTGGGAGCGAGGGGGCAGGAGAAGAGAGATCACCAGACAAACGTGGCACGGGCCCGGCCCCAGCGAGTAACCCCAGAACCACGAAAGAAGGGAGAGCATGCAGTGGAGCAGCCTTTCAACCAAGAGGTCCATCGGCGATACACGACAGAGCAGGCGCCGAGGAGGGGGCAAGTGGGAAAGGCAGGGCCAGCAACCCAAGGCATGAAGAGAGAGCTGAGGAACTTGATGGGGTGAGGAAGAAGGGTGAGGCAGAGATGAGACGGCCAAGGGAGGGAGAAGAGCGGCAAGGAGATAGAGTTTCCGACAGCTGTCATGCATTTAATTGGAGAATAGTATTTAGGAAGTAACAATATAAAAGCATGACAGAGTAGTGTAGTGAGTATGATTAAGTCGCGGTAGGCGGGAAGCGAAGGACGACAGAGCGGGAAACAAGCCGAAATGGCGAAACCAACTCAGCCGTTGCAGAGCAACGGTAACCAGGTGAAGATACTTAGGCAAGCAACACGAGAAGGATCATTTGCTTGCTTGTATGTTTCCTCTATAAGCAAATAATTATTCCTAGTCACCCCTAGCGTTGCACTCAGTGGGGGAACCAATCCTAGCAAGCCTACCGAGGGTTTCACGAGGCTGTGTCCGGCTGTCAGCCGAGTTAGGTCATCCTAGCGTTGTTCTCTTGGCTAGGAACACACAAGTGGGAAAGGCAGGGCCAGCAACCCAAGGCATGAAGAGAGAGCTGAGGAACTTGATGGGGTGAGGAAGAAGGGTGAGGCAGAGAGGAGACGGCCAGGGGAGGGAGAAGAGCGGCAAGGAGATGGAGTTTCCGACATCTCGTAAGAGGGGCCTCCTTGGGGAGGGGGGTAGTGTAAGGAAAATTCCTTTTCCTTACTTCGCGTCCCTGCTTGCCGCGTACATAACCGTTCCCGCCATCAGCACCCATCCATGAACGTTACCCGTTCACGACACTCGCCTCGACCACAACTCCCGCCACTGTTCACGACGCGACCCAACCTAACGGTTCGGTTGGTAACCCGCGCTCCGGACCACCGCCTCGACAATTCTCCAATCCTCGGCGCTAGGCCCGTAGCGCACCTCAATTTCCCACATTACCGTTACCACTGTAGTTTCGCTATATATTCTTCGCTCATGCCTTCGCTCATTTGTACTCTTGCTTCGATAGTGCAATTCTCGCTCGTTCACTCAATTGCACTCGTAACACTAGCAGATCATGCACTCTGTTTCCTTTATCAAAGCAATAAAGAAGAAGCTTCTACAGAAACATTCCATAGACCTGGTATCAACGATCTTTCATGCACAGAACTTTCTATTTCGGGGCAATTAATTCCATGCCAGGGTTAGAATCCTACATAAGGGTAGGGTAGTTGTACAAAGAAATCAAATCAGTGAGGGCTACAAAACCACCACAATATGGAAAACCCTCTCAAATTGACCCACTCAAATTGCATGAGCGTTCTGCAGGGCCAGAAAGACAAGCAAGCCAAGTCAACGTGTCAGCTGGAAATAGCCCGAGGTGGGGCCAACCTCTGCTTGCAATTGCTTCAGCTGGCAACACCTGGCCACGACAGCACAGCAGCCTCCTCTGGTGGAACGGGCACCGGAGTGAGCCGCTTCTTGCTCCTCCCCACCACCGCCACCTCCGCTGCCCGCTTCTCCCCTCGTTGCTCCCCTTCCCCTGCCTTGCCCCCAGCAGCAGCAGCTGCTGCAGCAGACGGCAATCCAGAGGCTGTAGCAGCAGGAGCAGCAGCCGTTGGTGCCGCGGCAGCAGGAGCAGACGTGGCAGCAGGGGCGGCTGCAGCAGCAGCAGCAGTAGTAGGGGGTGCAGAAGAGGAGGCGGCGCCAGAAAAGACAGCAGAGAGCTGCTCTCTCATCATGGCCTCTACAGATGGCAGCCGGATCATCTCCTGGAGTTCCTCAGCCTGACATGGGGGAGAGAGGGAGAGGAGGCAGGCGGCAGGAGAGAGAAGGTCATGTTAGACTGGCTTCAGCCAACATTGAAAAGGCATGGTGGTATTTCTCTCATCATGGCCTCAACAGATGGCAGCCGGATCATCTCCTGGAGTTCCTCAGCCTGACATGGGAAGAGAGCGAGGAATGAGGTGGGGGAAATCGGTAGGGTATCATTTGCTTCTGCCGAAAAGGAAGGTCAGGAGCAGGGAAAGAGAAGGGCCGATGGAGGAGGCATGAAGCGAGAAGGACGAAGGGGGGGTCACCGTACGTTACAGAAGGCGAAGAGAGGAGGCGACAGAAGGAACATTAAGATGAAGCAGCACGAGCGCTTGAAACAAGGAGTTCAATGAACACAGCAGTTAGGCAGCGCTCTCACCTTCTCCTTGAGGTCACTTGCGATCTGCTGCACGTCTTGTATCTCTTGCACCAGCTCCTCCTCACTGCTGCTCCCGTCTATCGAGTCATATGCTATGCCCGCGCCCTCCTCCGCCTTACCCTTGCCCTTGTCCGTGGTACACTTCCCACTTTCCCCTGCCTTCGCCTCGTCCTTCTCTTCCTGTTTCTTCTCCTCCTCTTTCTTCTCCTCCTCTTTCTTCTCTTCCTCTTTCTTCTCTTCCTCGTCCTTCTCTTCCTCTTTCTTCTCTTCCTCTTTCTTCTCTTCCTCTTTCTTCTCTTCCTCTTTCGTCTCTTCCACTCCCTTCGCTCCTTCCTTCACTTCTTTCCCTGCAGCTGCATCCGCAACCTTCGTAGCTTCTAACCCCGCACTTGCACCTTCAGCAACGGCAGCACTCCCAGTCGCCACACTCTCACCGCCCTCCTTCCCTGCTGCTTTCAGCTTCCGTTTCGCCTCCAGCAGCGTCTGCGCCTGGGCAACGCGCTTCTCACACGCGTCTATGGCCTGCCGGCAGCACCGGAGCGCCTCAGTCGCGCGGTTGCCCGTCTGATTCGCCAGCGCCATCTTGAAATACCTGCCGCAGGCAGTAGGAGCGTGGGCGGTCAGAGGGCGGGTGTTTAAAGCGCAGGCGAGAGAGGAGAAAGGGAGAGGGTGAGGGATTAGACGCCGCCTTTTCGTACATCAAACAGCAAGAAAGAAAGGACGATGGAAAAAAGGCTGCTCTGACGAAACCCAGCAGTGGCCGCCAAGTCAGCATGGCACCTGGCACCACGTCATCACTCACAGTTCGATGACGCGTCGGTGGTGCGGCGACACGAGCAGTGAGAGCAGGTTCAGCGCGTGTTGATAGTCCTCCATGCATGCATCAAAGTCCTCTGGTGCGGACAGGAGAGAGGAAGGTGGCATAGGGAGGTGCACAGGGGGACAAAAGAGTCGAATTAAGAATCACAAGTTGCAGCGCGTGCTGATAGTCCTCCATGCACGCATCGAAGTCCTCTGGTGCGGGAAAGCAGTAGGGAGGCGGCATAGAGGGGGAAATGAGGGCACGACGAGTGACATAGTTAGAAGGGAAAAAAAAAGGGAGGAGACTGGAGAGTCGGCAATATACACATGTCTTTCTTAAGGTGAATACTCTCCACCCTTTTACTCAGAAACATTCTTCCGAACCATAACCTTCAATTGTACTCATTCACTCATTCGTCTTTACAAGCCTCTCTCTCTCTCCTTGAGCCCTTGAATCCCGCTCACCAGCCAGTGCGACCGTCTCACCCTTTTCAAGACTGAGATCCGCGAGCGTGGAGATAACATCCACCTCCTCCAGGCTCCTCGCGTCGCGCTTCGCGTAGATGCACCGAGCCGTCTCCAGCAGCCGCCACGCCAGCTCCTGATCGCCCTCCTCCTCCTCGTCCCCTTCCTCGGCCTCCTCTAAATCCTCCTCCTCGGCCGCGTCGGCTCCGTCAGGGCCATCGTCCGTCTCCTCCACTGCACACCACGGGGGACAGAGCAACAGAGGAACAGGGTAACGGGGTAACAGCGAAAGTTTGGTGAGACTAAGAAACGGGATGCCCTCCTCCTCCTCGTCCCAGTCCTCGTCACATCCGAACCAGCACATAGAATAACACTCCAAGAGTTCAAAAAATCACACGAGAAGCTAACGGGTGGCACGCGAAGGAACCAAGAAGGGCAAAACAGCTATCAGACGAACCTTTGCCTTTGCCTTTCCCTTTTGACTTGCTTGCCTCGTCCTCCTCTGCTTCCACATCTTCATCCTCCTCCTTTCCCTGCTCTAGCTTCTGCCCCGCAGGGCCCAGCACGTCCGTGTCGCGCTGCGACTTGGCGAAGAGCGCGGAGGCGTACTTAAAGTACGCCACAGCGCATTCCTCGCCGAGCTCGCCGAACGCCGCGACTCTGGTCGGAGGGTAGTAGGAACGATTGGCAGGAGCAGAGATAGGCGCGTGAGGCGGATACGCGGGGAAGATGCGGCGGCACGGAAAGCATAACGGTGGATTTTGATGGCACGTGGATGAGATGTTACAGAAAACCAAGAGAAATTAATGCGTTTCAGTTCGTACCGCGATTCGAGCGCGGAGCCAAAGAGCTGGATGGCAGTCTCAATGTCGCCGTTGTCGAGAACCGCATCGCCTTGCTTCAGAAGGTCGTCCGAATCGCGTAGCTTCTGAGACACGTCGATTTGCGAGCTTGACCCCATGACGGCGAAAGCAACCGCGGTGAGGTAGTCTCAAGGGAAGTCACGATCGCCGCCTGCCTCGAGACGCCGCTCGTGATAATCAACAAACTAATCGATAAGTAAAAAGCGAACAAAGTATGAGGGGAAACCGGGAGTAGCCGTAGGATGGTCCTCGTGACGAACAGAAAGGGCTAGTAAAAGCAGCGTAAGTAGGCCAATAAATTGCTGAGCTAAAGGAGTGAGCAAACGACAAGGATAATAAAGCTTGAGACGTGCTGATGGAATTTGACCTTCAGATGGAGGAAGGGAGTTAGGCTCGGCTTGGTTTGCCTTGCCTGGCAGCCTTGGCCTGATTGGTCGAGCACCTCGAGATTTCCCGCCACCAGAATGAGGAGACTGTCGTGCAAGTCGCATATAGTCGCACGCCCATGGGTCTCGCTCGCGAGACGTTACACCGTCGTAAGGCTGGCTCTAGCCCAGTGTGCGAACTCACCTTCTCGTGAGCGACCATGCGCGAGCGAATCGCCTTTTCAATCATTCAAATTGCTGAGTTCGAATTGGCTGCGTTACTGTGATGGTACAATGCAGTAAGCAGTCTGTGTTTTTTACAAACTGTACTTCCACAACCAGAACTGTATGGAACCAGAACTGCCGCACAATGCACCAACAAACATACCCACAGAATTGTTCCAAAACGTACATCATTCTTTATTGTGTATAAATGTTACGAGTGAAATTGAGTGAACGAGCGAGAATTGCACTATCGAAGCAAGAGTACAATGAGCGAAGGTATGAGCGAAGAATATATAGCGAAACTACAGTGGTAACGGTAATGTGTGAAAAGTGGGGTGCGCGACGGGCCTAGTGCCGAGGTTGGGAGAGGTCGAGGCGGAGGTCCGGAGCGCGGGTTACCAACCGAACCGTGAGGTTGGGTCGCGTCGTGAACGGTGGCGGGAATGGTGTCGAAGCGAGTGTCGCGAGTGGTAACGGATTACTGTTGGGTGCTGCTGGCGGGAACAGTGGTGTACGCGCTGAGCAGGGACGCGAAGTAAGGAAAAGGGATTTTCCTTACACTACCCCCCTCCCCAAGGAGGCCCCTTTTACGAGAGCGCGTGTACATCTCGGAAGTTTCGGCTTCGCAGATACTCAGTGAGGACAGGGTGATTCTCAATTCTATCCAAGGGGACCCAGTTGTCTTCGGTGGGCGTGCGGTCCTTCCAGCGGATCAGGAATTCGATTCTGCGGGCTCCCCGTGGGTCACGTACTCGATGCCTCAGTATTTTCTCAGGCGTGATGATTGGCTCAGTCGGTGGTCGTGTCATGCTGGCGGGGCGGTTGCGAGGCAGTTGGCTGGTGGATGGCACGTATGGGCGAAGCAGGCTGACATGGAATGACGGGCTGACGTACCAATCAGCAGGGAGGAGGAGATGGGCGGTGACGGGTGTGATCATGTGGCTGATGCGAAATGGCCCGCAATATCGGGGGCGGAGTTTTGGGGTGATGGGCAGGCGGAGGTTTTGAGTGTCGAATAAAACTAGGTCGTCCGGCTGGTAAGTGACAGGTCGGCGGTGGCGGTCAAAGTTGCGTTTAGCGATGATGTTTGTTTTTTTTATTGCTTCTGCTGCTCGGGTCCGTGCTGCTTGCAGTATTTCTGCGAACTGTTGCGCGCGTGGGACTGGGTTGTCGGGATTCGGGGTCATGGGTACTGTGGGGTGTTGTCCGTAGTTCAGGTAAAATCGTGACTGTTGGGTCGTGGCAGATGGCGAGTTGTACGCGAATTCGATGAGTGGCAGTTGCTGGTCCCACGTGGTCGGGTCGTCGCACGTGGCCCGGATGAGGTGTTCCATGGTCTGATTTGTCCGTTCTGTCTGTCCGTCGGTTTCGGGGTGGTATGATGAACTAAACTGTAGTCGCGTGCCGAACTGTTGCCACAGGTTCCGCCAGAAGTTGCTGGTGAATTTCGTGTCTCTGTCGCTGATGATCGATGCTGGTATCCCGTGTAGTCGAACGACGGTAGAGATGAAGAAGCGGGCCGTTTCTTCGGCTGTGATTGATTTTTTGCAGGCTGCGAAGTGTGCCATTTTCGTCAGTCGATCGACGACGACCAGGATCGCGTCATTCCCACTTGCTCCGGCCGGTAACCCCGTGACGAAGTCCATCGTCACCTGCTGCCAAGCACGCTCTGGGGGTGGTATCGGCTGCAACTGTCCTGCCGGCCGCTTCCGTGATGACTTCATGATCTGGCAAGTGGGACACGATGCCACGTGTCGTTGAACGTCGGTCAACATTTCGGGCCAGTAATAATACCGCTGCAGCTGCTGCCGTGTTTTTTCTACCCCGAAATGCCCCGAGGTAACTCCGTCGTGTGCCTCCTGTAATAGTAATTCCCGTAGCAGTGTGTACCCTGGTACCCAGATGCGGTCGGTCCCGGCTTTTACGTAATAGACTCCCTTTGCTACTGCGAACTGTTGCGGATTTCCTCCTGTGAAGAATGGATCCGTTTGGTACCCGTGGGTAAATAGTCCTGTCAGCAGCGGGCTGGTCTGGGCGAGTAGTATCGCGTGGATTTGGGCAGCGGGGCGGGTCAGTGCGTCAGCGATGTTGGATGCTCCCTTTTTGTAGGTGACCTAGTAGTGGAAGTTTGACTCGAGGAAATCGAGCCAGCGGATCTGTCGTGGGTTGAGGTGGGGCTGTGCGCGGAGGTACTGTAGGGATCGGTGGTCTGTCCGTACTGTCACGTCTGCGCCAGTCAAGTAACAGCGCCAGACCTTGAACGCATGCACGATCGCGAGCATTTCGCGGTCGTGTATCTGGTAATTTTTCTCGGGCGGATGCAGCTTTCGTGACTCGTAGGCGATGGGCTGTAGGCCGTTGCCGAAATCCTGTAGCAGTACGGCTCCAATGGCGATGTCGCTTGCGTCGGTTACGACTTCGAAGGGGCGGTGTGGGTCAGCGATGCGCAGTACGGGCGGTGAACAGAGAACATGTTTTAAGGGCAGAGAAGGCAGCATGCTCTTTCTCCCCCCACGTAAAAGTGACCCCCTTCCGCAGCAGATCCGTCAGTGGGGCAGTTAACCGTGCCATATCGGGGACGAACCGACGCACGTAATTAACGAACCCTAAAAAGCTCTGCAGCTCCGTGATGTTCGTCGGGGGGTGCCACGCTTTGACTGTGTCCAGCTTCTTTGGGTCGATTTCAACCCCAGCCTCCGAAATAACGTGCCCCAAAAATTCTAACCTATCCTGGAAGAACTCGCACTTGGAACCCTTGGTCAGTAGGCGGTGCTCGTCTAAAACCTTAAAAACTGCTTCCAGATCTGCTAAGTGGTGCTGCTTATCCATGCTGTAGACTAGGATGTCGTCGAGGTAAACTATCACGCAATTATCTAAAAGTGGCCTAAACGCCTCGTTCATGGTCATCTGAAATGTCGCCGGTGCGTTGGTCAGCCCGAATGGCATCACGGTGTATTCGAATGACCCGTATCGAGTTCTAAAGGCTGTTTTGGCGCAGTCCGATGGTTCGACTCTAATCTTATGGTAACCTCCCCGTAAATCTATTTTCGAAAAAACCCGTGCCGTTCGCAGTTGGTCGATCAGTTCGTCGGCGCGGGGAATGGGGTATCGCGACTTGACTGTTACCCGGTTCAGTGCTCTGTAATCGATGCACATGCGAAACCCTCCGTCTTTTTTCGGTGTGAACAGTATCGGTGCGGCGAACGGTGACGAGCTCGGTCGAATGAATTTTTTCTCTAACAGGTACTCTAACTGCTTCCTCAGCTCATCAAGCTCGGGCTGTGTCAGTCGGAACTGTCGCTGTACGGTTGGCTGTGCCCCGGGCTCTAACTCTATGCGGTGGTCGTGTGCTCGCTGAGGTGGCAGTCCCTACGGTAAGTCATCGGGAAAAATCCCCGGGTACCGTTTCAACAGTTCCTGCAGTTCGGGCGGTACCGCTGTCAGCAGTTTCTGAAAATCACTCGGCTGCTCTGCTTCTCCTATCAATGCTATATCCACTGCGTACACGTCAGCTCCAGCGGCGACAGCCCGTTTCATCGTGATGGCGTTGACATGGACCGTTGAAGACTCGGGCGACTGCCAGCGAGGTAGCACGACCCAGTTACCGCTACTTCGCACAGTGCAGCTACCCGTCGTCCAGTCGATTCGCTGGTTATACCGTCGCAGCCAATCACGTCCTAGTAAAATGTCGTGCCCATCCAATGTCGTCGCGAGCATTTCCTGTGTAAACCCAAAGTTCCCCCCGCAGCGGACCTTTACTCTCTCCACCTTCTCCCGTATGGCCAGCGGCGTTCCGTCCACTAAGCGTGCATCTATTTCCTAAGTGTCAGTTGCAGCTTCCGTGCGGTTGCGGTATTAACTAAGCTGAGGCTTGCTCCTCCGTCTATAAAGATCTTCACTGCTGCTCCCTGTATTTTCCCGTGAATCAGTACTGGGCAATTCGTCGCTGTACCCTCCTTATTCATCCGAACCCGATCGATAGCGTGAATCGGTACTGTGACTCGGTGAGGGTCGGTGTGGTTGGGCGAGCAGGCAGTCTCGTCAGTAGTTGGCCCGATTCCTACTGACTGCTGGCGTTTCCCTGCCTTAGAGACTCCCTCCCCTGCTCTGCTCCGCGGCGCCTCAGCTCCTCTGGGCACTCACTCTTACGATGGCCCGGCCTATTGCAAGCGAAGCAGCGCCCCTTAAACGGCACGGCAGCTGCATTCGTCGCAACAGCGTGTACAGTGGCGTGCTCGATTGGTCCCGGAGGGCGATGTCCGTAGTAGGACCCCGGTCTCGGGCGGCGTAAAATGTCGATTTTCTCGGCGAGCGCGAGAATCTCGTTGAAATTCGAGAGTCCGCGTAGCATGATTTCGTGCGAGATGTCCGGCTTCAGCCCTCCGACGTAACGGTCCACCCGCTCCGCTTCGTGCATATAGCCGACTTGCTCGCATAATGCGAGAAAACCGCTCGTGTAGTCTTGGACCGATCCGAGCTGCCGCCAAGTACGCAGTTTCTGACGCGCCGAAATAGAAGCCGCGATCGGCTCGAAGCGCGCCCGAAGCCCTGCGCACCACGCATCCCACGTGCTGTATTGGGCGGTTTCGCAGAATGAACTCAAGGTGACAGCTGGGCCCGTGGGCCCTTTCCTCTTGCGACGGTGGCTCGTAGGCGCGTGGCGACGTCACGATGACTCGCCACCAGTCCATGGCGGGGCCCCTCAGCAGCGAGACGGCGTATCTGATCTTCGCTGCGTCCGACTCGACGTAGTTCGCGTCGAAGAAGACGTTCATCGTGAAAACCCACGATTGAACCGTCGGACCTCCACATTGGCTCGGATCGAAACAGGGCGGGCGCTGCGGCTTGAGTGGCATTGGTGCCATGCTGGCGTGATCGCCACTTGTCGCCGCAAATTCCACGTGCCGACGGGCTTCACGAGGCTCCCGCGGGCTTGGTGCGACCCTGTTCCTCTCCATGCCAGGCATCGAGTGAGCGGCACCATCACTGGCTGCGCCTGAGCGCTGTCCCACGCTGTCGTTCTGTGTTGGTGTGCCGGATGAAATGACGATCGGCTCCTCCGATTGTGCGGGTACATTTGCAGGTGCGTGTGGTGGTGCTGGAGCATTCACCGTGGATTGATGACGAGCGGAGTCACGTTCCGCCGTGAGCGTCGCAATTTCGAGCGCCGAATCCTCGACTTGGCGCACGAGACGGTCGAGTTGCTCCTGCGTCAGTTTCGCGAGAATGAATTCGGCCATGGCGGGGCGGGGGTGTCGGGCAAGCTCAGCGAGAGCCTCGGTCGTGGCCGTGCGTGCTTACGAGAGAGCACTTCGAGCGGCGGTGCTTGTTCGCTGAGAGACGTCTACCCCCCCCAAAAAATTGAGATAGTGTGGGTGCGGTCCGAGAAGAGATCGTAGGCTCTGAATACCAAGTGTTACGAGTGCAATTGAGTGAACGAGCGAGAATTGCACTATCAAAGCAAGAGTACAATGAGCGAAGGTATGAGCGAAGAATATATAGCGAAACTACAGTGGTAACGGTAATGTGTGAAAAGTGGGGTGCGCGACGGGCCTAGTGCCGAGGTTGGGAGAGGTCGAGGCGGAGGTCCGGAGCGCGGGTTACCAACCGAACCGTGAGGTTGGGTCGCGTCGTGAACGGTGGCGGGAATGGTGTCGAAGCGAGTGTCGCGAGTGGTAACGGATTACTGTTGGGTGCTGCTGGCGGGAACAGTGGTGTACGCGCTGAGCAGGGACGCGAAGTAAGGAAAAGGGATTTTCCTTACAATAAATGACAAATACAGCAGCTCCGTGATTATTTTGCAAATGTTTCTTTCATCAAGGTATGTAAGCCACGTTAACTCTTGGCCAAGTTTCTTGAACTCATCCAACCAAACAAAGACGGACCACCACCACCACCACCGCCACCGCCACCACCACCACTGCCGCCACCGCCACTTTTGGCAGCAGCAATGCTCTTTGCTTTCATCTTACTAGCCTTTTCCGCAGCTGCAGCCGCAATTTCGGCTGCTTCTGCTGCTGCGGCTGCAAGCTCTTCCTGCTCTTCTTCCAACGGGTAAACCACCCTCCAGTCCCCTCCCAACCTGTCCAACTCTACCTTTGCCACATCCAACCGTCTCTTCAGCTTCTGGTCTAACTTGTTAGCAGCTACCAGCTTAGTCCGCGCTTCTAGCGCTGCCGCCTCCGCTACCTGTTTGCTCTTCTCCAACCTCTCCACATCCCCTTTCATCAGCATCAGCTCTGAAACCGCATCTGTTTTCGCCCGGAACATCTCCTCCATCTCGCCTTTCAACTTACTCACCTCCGCTGCAAGCTGCTCTGCATCTGCCCTCGCCTCTGATTCCCTCTGCTCCGCCCCTTCTATCTCTGTCTCCATATTGAAAAGCAGCGACGCGTGCTGCTCCGCCACCGCAGCTGAAGCCTCGGCATGCTCCCGCTCCCGAGCCTCCATGTCCGCCACCCGAACCTGCGCCTCCACCAGGCCCTTCTCAGACATTTCCGCCCGGTTCGTCGCCGCTTTCACCTCCACGCTTAACCGCGACACCTCTGCTTCCAACAACGCCACTTTCGACCGAATCTCCTGCCGTAACTCGCTCTCAAACAGCGCTCGGCTCTCCTCCAGTTTCTTTTTCGCAGAGCTCTCAGAAGCAATCTTCTCCTTGGCTTGCTCCAGCTCTGCAAACAGCTGCTCTCTCTCCCCGAGCGCCCGCCCCGTGGCTGCTTGCGCCTGGTTGAGTCGATCCTCCCACTCGTCCTCTACTCTAGCCTTGGCGAATTCCCACTCCTCTGCTAGTCTTTGTGCCTCTGTGAGTTGCTCTCTCAGCTGTGCGTTTTCTTTGAAAAGGGATTCTAGCCGCTGCTGCTGCAGGGCGACTGTGTCTGCTGGGGAATTGGCAGCTGTTGTTGTGCTCTTCGGGGTGCTGCCCGTGGTTTGAGGGGTCTGGATAGTGGGAGGGGGAGGAGGGAGAATAAGCAAGGGGAGACAGGGAGAGGTAGAATGATGTTGCGCAATAAATGGTGAGGATTGGTGATGGGGAGGAAGACTCGCTGGGCTGGCACAATGGCAGCTGTACACACAGCACGAATCCCCTGCGTTCCACATACATAGCGGTGCATAAGGGGTTCAAACGAGAGCAACCCGAGCCCGATGCCATTCCGCCCATGACGTTTTCCCCCAACCACTCCGGTGGCAAGAAAGGCAACAACGCCTCTCACCCCAAGTCATGCCCAGTCCACGTCTCTCTCTCCTCCTCCAAACCATTCTATTCTTGCCTTTGTTCCCGCTCGAGCAATCACGCACGTGGGAACGCACCTCCAATCACACACACACAACCACCCATTTACCAGGCCAACCAAACGGCCGTCTCTCAACCCACGCCTCGCCCCCCCGTCCCCCTCCCCCCAGCACTGCAAGGTCCTCCCTCTCCTCCCTCTCCTCCTCACACGCACAAAGAGAAACGCATGTAAGCACATACGCTCGCCCAACTGTGCACATGCACATCATCTTGCCATGTCCATTACCTTACCTCTTCCGTCCCCCCTCTTCAATTCAATCCCTTTGCCACCCCCCTCCGCTCCCGCCCATCCTCCATATGTTTGTGTCTCTTGAAAGGGACTATCCCTTTCAAGAGACACAAACAACCACCAGCAGCTCCCCACATGTTTCTGCCACGTCCGGTCTTTTGGCAACAGCAGCAGCAACAGCGGCTGCTGCTCCTTGCTCCCTGTCCCCCCCCCCCTCCCTCTCACAAGCGGTCCATGTATTACATCTCTCTTTCCCTCACGTCCACTCTTCTCGTTCTGTTCTCTCCTGCCATGTTCTTCCCACAAGTTCTTGCTAACACTCCATAAATTTCAACCTGCCGGTCTCTTCTCCGCCATTCCCCATGCGCACTCCGCGCGTCTCCCTCCCCTCCCCTCATCCCCCTCCCCCTTCTCCCCCTCCCCTCCGCGCGCGCACCTGCCCCATCTTCGCCAGAACAGTTCCGCCTCCAGCTGCTTTTGAGGCGCCTCAAAAGTAGACCCATCCGCGCGCTCACCTGCCGATTTTTGAGGCGCCTAAAAAATCGCATCCCCTCCCCCTCCCCCTCCGCGCGCGCACCTGCCCCATCTTCGCCATGAACAGTTCCGCCTCCAGCTGCCCCGCGCGCGTCGTCAGCTCCGCCTTCTGCCTCCGCAAATCGTCCCTCTCCGCGCGCAGCCGGTGCATCTCGTCCGCCTGCTGCCGCCACGCCGCCGCCGCGCGCTCCGCCTCCTCCGACCGCAGCGCCAGCTCGCGCAGCAGCCGCGCGGCCTCCGCCTGGTCGCGCGACGGCACGGGCGGAAGCGCAGCCCCCCCCGCGGAGCCAGTGCGCGAGGAGGTGAAACTAGGGGAGCGGGATGTGGGGGTGTTGGGCCGGGAGTTGGAAGCGCCGCTGCCGGTGCTGTTACAGCGCGCAAGGTCTAAGGCGGAAGAGGGGGAAGGCTCGTCGGTTTTGGGGGAGGCGGGCTGCTCTTTGTTGCGCCGCATGTGGTTGAGGATTCTGCTCGCCATGGCGGAACTGATTGAGGTGGGGGGGAAGCGGGATAGGGGAGGGGGGAAGTGAGGGGGAAGGTGGGGAAAGGGAGGGGGAAAGGGGATGTGAGAGAGTGGTGGAGGGTGGGGATGGAAGAAAATGGGTTGCGGAACGCGTGAGAGAGTGAAGGAGGTAGAGGATGCGCAGTGAGAGAGGTGAGGGGGGGAGAGATGGGTGGATTAGGGCACGGGGGTGGGGCGAAGGAAATGGGGAGAGGGCGAAACTATATGGGAAGGGGGAAGAGGAGGGGAAGGGGGAGAGGTATAGCGAGAGAAGGAAAAGGTTAGGGTTTTCCTTACAGCGGAGGTCAAGTAGCGAAGCGGCTGTTTCTTGAATGGGAGAGCTGCGACGAAAACTGACGACACGATGCGACTCCCCAAGCGACACTCCCCGCGACAACCGGCGGGTAAGAGTAGGTAAGGGAAAAAGGAGGCTCTACGAGAAGGTTAGTGCCGTCTCGTGCTGGCTTTGCCTCCAAGATTAAGTCCGTTCAGTATTCAGTAAAGCCGGTCGCAATGTAGGTCGGAGATGGAATAGTGCTAGCGCGGTCATCTGCTCGACGAGAATTGGCCATTAGGGTAACTGTTACGCAGTGGCGAAAAAACCGGACGCATGAGCGGTCCTGGCGATGGAATCCTGAACACTTAGCCGTGAGAGTGAGTCTGGTCTCGTACTGTAATGACGAGAGGACTATCGCCTAGCTAGAGCTTCAAGCACCTCAAACCACTCTGCCTGGCTGATGCTAGCTTGCGTCAGTCACTGATGATCCAAGGACTGGGACATGACACTCGTGCGTTGCGACTCGTCGTAAGTAGGTGAATGTGAAACTGTTACAACAAAGTGTAGTAAGTGTTCTGCCTGTTGTTGTGCTGCAGTTTCCACGGCAAAGAGCAGCAGAGCTGAGTTCCGCAACAGGTAGGAATCCCTCCAAAGTTTCCTTTTCCCCTCCCCTCCCCTCAACAAGAGTCCCTCCCTCCCCTCTCCTTCGAGCTGCCCGCTACACTTCCAAAAATCCCGGAATACATTTCCCCTAATTACACCCTGAACGCTTCGTTTTGGCAGGGCCCACTTGCGCTGTTCTGGGTGGTACGTACGCTAGAGTTTTGTTTCGAGACCAGAGTCCAGACTGCACCATCAGGGTGACACTCGGACCGAGAAAGTTCGAGCAGAGTGACGCAACGTGATTGTAGCGAAGCTGGTCACAAACTTGCACGTTCCCTCACGCTCCCTCAACTACTGCATGTTTAGGGGAAGTTGCTTTCCAGTACGCTCGTTTGACTTTTCCTGGTGGAGATTGCTGGCATGTGAGAATGTGTTCAGAAAGTGAAATGGGTAGCGTAAGCGAAGTATGGGACCATCACTCATCTCACCTGACAGCCATTGCAAGTGTGGTACGTAACCTCGCCAGTCATGACGTTTGGTTTGGTTCTGTAATTCCAGGTTGGCGAAATAGTTTTTGTGGCAAGGGAAGGCCTAAAGTGCTAACTGATTTCAAGTATTTTCTAATGTGCACATTAACAGGCCTACGGTAACACCTACTACAATTATATACACAAATCCTTGAAGGGCTGCAACTGAGTGGGAGCCACCCAAATTCCACCAACACTGGCTCAATACGCTCAAACCACCACAAGGGCACTGCGCAGAGCAGCAGGTGCACTCTCCTTCATCTCTTCCTTGGCCTTCCCCTCCAAACATTTTCCTCCTTTCCCCTCATCCCCCTCCTCGGCCACATTCTCCTTCCCTGCATCTGAATCAGCAGCAGCAGCCACCTCCAACTTCCCTGTGTTGCTGCTGGGTTCCTTGCACGGCGCATGTGCGTGCGCATCCTTCTTGTGTCGGCCTGCTCTCTCCAGTGTCTCGTCAGTCAGGAAGTAGGCTGGGAGGAAAGGGCAATTCCTGTACCGCTCCCCTTGCCCTGCTGTTGCTTCGGCCAGGAGCCATAGGTACGGGCACAGGCCTGGCGGGAAAGTGCGGATGTCGCTGGCCTTCCGAAGTGCGGAGTTAGGCTCGGTGTCGCTCACTCCCCCAATGGAGGTGTAACTGTAACAGTTAGAACGAATTTGTAGAACAAAAAAAAAGGAGGAATGAGATAGTGAGGACAAAAGCTACAGAAGGCAAAGCGCTAGGAAAACATGGTAAGAAAAGCCAATAAGACATTTCAACCAGTCAAGGCACGCATTAGGGGGCAGGGTGGCTGGGGTGGGAGGCTGGTCGCTGGGTGGAGGTTGGAGCGGGGTGCGGCTTCAATGAGCAGCAGGGAACAGGAACATACCCTTCATCGTAGAGCGAGCAGTAGGGGACACGGGTGAGCAGCAGGAACTCCCAGACGTCTCTGTAGGTCCAGTTGAGAATCACGTTCACGCGCATGAAGGGCGGCCACCCGGGCGAGCTCTCTGCAAACACCTGCTGGCCCTTCTGCTCGGATGAGAGGAAAGGGAGAGCACAGCAGAGTGCAGCACGAGAAATTGATTAGGGGATGGGTATGTCGAACGACGGAGACCCCAGAGAATGAAGGCCCAAGACTTGCCGATTCTGAGAGGCAGGAGCAAAACCAGCGACAGAGGGAACGAGGCAGAAGAGACGAAAAGCATGAGGCAGGGGCAGAGGCGGAGGCAGAAGCAGATCGCAGCTTACCCCTTTGGGGTCGTTGATCCGCACGCCGAGGAAGATCGCCTTCACGGGCCGCTTCCGCTGCAGCGCCATCACGCCCTCCTTGAACCCCTCCTTGGTCTGCAGCAGCGCCAGCCCGTAGCGCCGCGCCATGTCGAACGTGAACTCGTCCACTTCCGCGAAGCTGTCCTTATCGCGGAAGAAGATGGCGCACAGCCCGTCCGCTTCCCCCTCCCACCCGTCGTCGCTTCCCGCCATCTTCCCCTCCGCCTCCGCCTCCGCTTCCGCCTCCGCCTCCGCCTTCCCGTCGTCCGATTCCTCGTCGGAGAAAGTGGCGGTCGTCCCCATTTTGAACGACTCGCCTCCCTCCTCGTCCCCCGTCTCGGACCGCGCGACACGTCCCCGCGCTGATGGCGCCAGGAGGCAGTCGGACGACGACGACAGCGTGTGCGGCGCGAAAGGGTCGTCGTCGTCGCCGCAGTCGTCGCAGCCGTCGCAGCTGTCGCCGTGGGTCGCGGAGAGGGCGCAGTAGCAGGAGGAGCGGAGCTCGGGGTTGGAGCGGCAGCGGTGGAGGTGAGTGGAGGGCCAGTTGCACGCCATGGCTGCGCGCAGTAGGTGCAATATAACCTGCGAAAGAGAAAAGAAAAGAAATAAAGAAATAAAGAAATAAAAAATAAAAAAAATGGAAAAGCGGGGACGTTTACGAAAGAAGGGTTTAGGAAGGGAGTCAAAAATGAAAACAAGGGGGGATGCAGGAACTGAAAATAAAGGCGGGGAGACGAAGGCCGGGAAAGGAGCAGGTCGGGGAACAATCTGACGACAACGGTACGGTGGCGAGAAAGTGATCAAGAACGAAAGAGCGAAGGTGATCACGAGCGAGAGAGTCGACGAGAGTGCAAAAGGGGAAGCGCGAGAGGAAACCGCATGCTCTAAGAGGCGAGGCGAGCGGATCGCCGGACTGCGGAGGCAAAGACTTACGGTGGAGTCCTTGCCGCCGTTGAAGCTGAAGGCGATCTCGTTGGGCTTGTACTTGGTGAGCGTGCGGTGAATGGCGTCCATGGATTCATCTACTCGCCGCCGGAGCTCCTGGCTCGCGCCATGGTCTATTGCTGAGAGAATCTCCATTATCTTGTTTCTTCGCGCCTTGGCTTAACTGTGTCTTGTCTTGACTTGTGATGTAACGGCCTGTCTTCTCTTGTACTGTGCGTGACGTTGTCAGAACGGGTCAGGACTACAACCACTGGTTTAGTTTTCTTTCTTTCTTTTGCGTAACGATAGACCTAACTTCTAGAGCAGGCTAGTATGGTGGATCGGAGATGTGCGGATCAACGAAAGGCTTGTTGGGAGAAATAATTGAGAGCGATCGGAAGAGAGAGCGTTGTAGTGGACTACGAACGAGCGGATCAGGTTGGACTTCGAGTGACGATTAGCTTTGACGGATCACTGACTGTACGATTGGAGGATGTTTTCAAAAAGCGCTAGAATCTGAATTGGTTGTGCCGGTACGACTCACGGGAGGATGAGCCGAGATCTTGGAAGAGTGACGGTGAAAATGATGCTGACCTAGACTAGAATGGTTGAACGGGTTTCCAGGGCGGGTAGCGCAGTCAGGAAGGGAAATAGCGTGAATGGCGTAGCGAAACGAGTTGAATTGACAGGAAGATATGAGCGGAACGACGGCTGGAAAGTACGTAGTCGCGGGTCAGGCGGAGCTGGACAACCGAAAAAGTGCTGTTGTGGGTAGCGTGGGCACGCGATGTGGGCTAGTTGGCGTGTGGAGGAGAACGATCTGTGGTTGGGCGTTGCGTTGGTGTTGGTGTTGGTGTTGTTGGCAGATGCGATGAAATGAATCGTCTCATGAACACACCTACCGCAATAAGCCGTTGGTGGGGTGCAGTGCAGTGGTGGTGTCAGCAGAGCCAGGCGAAGGCGAAGGAGCGACGGAAGGAGGTGCGGCTGGAAAAAGATGCCAACAGGTGCGGCGAATTGAGGCCGTTCAGACAGAAACGAAGGGCGATCGGCCAATGGGTGGAATTGGACCAACAAACACGGCTTGTCCGCTCATTCGGCGCATCGAGCCGCGGTGGGAATATTTTTCGCGTCGCGGATGAGGAAATGGGAAGGAGGGTTCAGTGGTGGTTGGCAAAACGGAAGTTCATGCTTTGCGATAAAGTACAGTCTTCCCTGGTCTGAGGGAACAGCATGCTGGAGTGGATGTGAACATGGAAGTGCAAACAATGCAACTTCAAAACTTTTCTGGTTGTGGAAAGAACTTGACGGTGATTACGTCACTGTGCGACTCCAGCATTGGGTTGTGTTCCCGGAAACTGGCACACTTTGGCCAGCAATGCATGGCGGGCATCCTGGAAGAACGTGTTGCGAGCACGACGGGCGGACGAGAAGCATACGGGATATTTTCAATCTCTGCCCGGATGACACGTGAAAGTCGAAGAAGGGATTGAGCGACACCCACGGGGTGGTGAGTGTGAGGCAAGCATTGCTCGACAAGTCGCGGGGCACCTGTCGTCGAGAAACGACCAACCAGCATCCATATCGTCGCGGAGTCGACAACGCTTGGCTCAGCTCAGCACGGCGAAAGCGCATGCGATTTAGTCAACAGTGTACGGCAAGGAATGGTTGCTTGGGTTGCATTGCATGCGGGCAGAGGCGAGGCGAAGTGGAATTGGACAACAAGGCAAGTCTGGGGCCTAACGCAACGCAATTTTAAACCGGCCGGAATATGCTAATCAAAACTACAGATACCGAATTTATTAGCGACCCATGTTTCCAGCCGCCTACTCCTCAGCTTTTGGTGCGCTGGCAGCACACATGGACGCGAAAGCGGAAACGACGGGGGATGACAGAGAGAATTAGAAGGGTGAGGCTGTGATGGCGCTGCGGGAGCAGGTGCACGCGGGGAGAATGGCGGTGGCGGAAAGAACTGCGCGCAGCAGCATGTTACTGGATGGGGGAAAGGGAAGCGGGTGGGGATTTGAGGAAGGCTCGTGCGGGGAAGATCCGCTCGCGCAAACCAGCCCTCTCCAAACTGATGGCACGTGAAACTCGCTTTTGGATTCACCGCCTCGCTTTTGTGGCTTGTGTAAGTGTATCTTGCAAAAACAAACGCATACCCAAAAGTGGGGAGCAGTGTACTCTCTCTCCAAAAATATATGAAAGAATGGATATCCCCAGCAGTGTAACCCCAGCTGAGTTGACAACGGAAATAATTTAAATGTGCCATATTATGTGTGCTGATGCACCAATTTCCATACTGAAATCGTGCACCATTCGCATGAAATACACCCTCATCGCAAAGCACACCCCCGTGAAATGCAATGCATCCCAACTTGAGGTCGCGGCGGTAAGAAAAATCAACAAACAGTGGCCTCCTCCAATCTCCTCATCCAGCTCTCTGCTCATTCCTTCCCTCCCTCGCCTTCTCGACTCCTCATCTTGGCCTTTTTCTTCTTCCCTAGGTTCTTCCCCGTCGCCATGGCTTGCAAGAACGGCCCCGTCCAAGCCCGCGCACACACGCGTGACCGCGGGTCGTACGAGGTCAGCCGCAGGGCGTCTATACGCGCTTTAATCGCTGCCATTGTCACGGCACCGCTTCCCCCCTCCCTTAATCTTTGCTGCTGCTGCGGCTGCTGCTGCTGCTCGGGACACACTAGAGGGACTATCCATGTGCCTTGAGGTATGTTATCAGGCATCCCACCAACTGCTGCTGCTGTTGTTGTTCCAGGGGATTCTGTGTCACCATCAACACCAGTAGCAGCAGCAGGTGGAGGGGAACAAGCAGGAGACGGGTGCAGGAATCCCGAGGGGTCGAAAAAACCAATGGATATTGGCTGAGATCCAGCACTGCGCTTGCACACAAAAGACGGCGAGGATGGGGACGAGGAGGAAGAACCACCGCCAGCCGCAGCAGCAGCAGCAGCAGCAGCAGCCTCTGTGGGAGTCCATGAGTCAGCAGCAGCCCCACAGAGAAGCTCAGCAAAGGAGTGAGACGCAGGGGAGGTGGGCGGTGCAGAGGAGGAGGAGGAGGAAGAGGAGGGTGGGGGGGAGAGGAGAGCCACCATGTCTTCGAAAAGCTCCAGCACGCGGGGGAGAGCGCGGGCAAACACAATCCCACCAGGCCGCCCGTGCCAGTCTGCCGAGCCTAGCGCTGCCCGGGCCTTGCCTGGTCTGGCGGAAGCCGATGCGGTGGTGCCAGTGCCAGCAGTGGCAGCGGTGGTGGTGAGCAAGCGGCGGCGGGGGAGGGATGAAGAGGAGGAGGGGAAAGAGGGCGGTGGAGGGAGAGGGGGGTTGAAGAGCAGGCTGTGGTTGGCAGGGAGGGCGTGCAGGGAGGGGTAGGGACTGGCGAGCCAGCCCACAAAGACAGTGTCCAGCCACAGCACGTTGAATCCCAGGTGCAGCGCTGATGCTATCGCCGTCACCTTCGCCTGTTGGGATGGTTTTCCGGTGTAAGATAAAGGGTGTGGGGTGGGGGAAAGGGATTTGAGACGTGTCAGATGCTGAGATGTTGAGATATAAGGCGACTCAGAATGGGAGGGCGTGCAGAGAGGGGTAGGGACTGGCAAGCCAGCCCACGAAGACAGTGTCGAGCCACAGCACGTTGAATCCCAGGTGCAGCGCTGATGCTATTGCCGTCACCTTTGCCTGTTGGGATGGTTTTCCAGGGTGGGGTAGGGGGTATGGGTTGGGGAAGGGTTTAGAAAAGTGTCGTGTTTTGAGATATAAGGCATCTCAGAATAGCACTGGCGTGCAGGGAGGGGTAGGGGCTGGCGAGCCAGCCGACAAAGACAGTGTCCAGCCACAGCACGTTGAATCCCAGGTGCAGCGCTGATGCAATCGCTGTCACCTTCGCCTGTTGGGATGGTTTGTTGGGATGGGGCAGGCGGAGTGTGGGGAGACAAGAGTTTTGAGAAGTGTCATGTTTTGAGATATAAGGCGTCTCGGAATGGCACTGGCGTGCAGGGAGGGGTAGGGGCTGGCGAGCCAGCCCACAAAGACAGTGTCGAGCCACAGCACGTTGAAGCCCAGGTGCAGCGCTGATGCTATTGCTGTCACTTTTGCCTGGTGGGATGGTTTTCCGGGGTGGGGTAGGGGGTGTGGGGTGGGGGGAAGGGTTTTGAGATGTGTGAAATGCTGAGATGTTGAGATATAAGGCGAATCAGAATGGGAGGGGAACGAGGGCGGTGAAGGGAGAGGGGGGTTGAAGAGCAGGCTGTGGTTGGCTGGGAGGGCGTGCAGGGAGGGGTAGGGGCTGGCGAGCCAGCCGACAAAGACAGTGTCGAGCCACAGCACGTTGAATCCCAGGTGCAGCGCTGATGCTATTGCCGTCACCTTCGCCTGTTGGGATGGCTTTGGTTGAGGGGTGAACGGGGGGTGAGGGGGAAGGAAGCGGGGAGAGCAGGTGGATATTGGAGGGGGGGGGGGGGGTTGAGGATGAGTTGTCAAGTATGAGCTTGAGCTGCAACACTTGAGCCACTTGGAACCATCATATGGTACAAAAAAAAAAAACAAAACAAAACAAAACAAAACAAAACAAAACAAAACAAAACAAAACAAAAAAACAAAACAAAACAAAACCGCGAATACATGCTTTCACTTCCTCTTTCGCATTATCACGCACCAGCAGGAACCGCGAGAAGCAAGGCGATCCATGAAAGCACTCCCTCGTCCCCTCCACCACGCGCTCCCCCTGCGCCGGCCCCGCACCTCCCCCCGCCGCCCCCTTCCCCGCGCCCACCCTCCCCAGAAGCACCTTCCACATCCCTCCCCCACTCCCTCCGGCTCCAGCTTTCCCACTGTCCGTCTGCTCTGGGGGGAGAAAGTACCCGTCGAGGTTGGTCCCCTGGTAGTACACAGCAATGCCCTGCAGGAAGAGGTAGCGGTAGGCTGCGGCGTCGAGCGCAGCGACAACGATGTTGCGCGTGGAGAGGCGAGCGGCACGACAGACAAAGTCGGCGACGACCTCCTTGGAGTCAAAAGTGGCTGCCAGCATGGTGACCGTGCCACTGGAGTCAGCTACCTGATGGAAAAGGAAGACGGAACGGGGGGGATATGGAGGGGCGGAGAGGGGTGAATTGGGATTAGTATAGATTCGGGCGCCTCAGAAGCACAAAGTCGGCGACCACCTCCTTGGAGTCAAAAGTGGCTGCCAGCATGGTGTGGTGACCGTGCCACTTGAATCGGCTACCTGATGGGAGAAGGGATGTAGAAGGATCGGGGGAGGGATGGGGTGGGATGGGATGGGATGGCATTAAATTGAAATGCTGCCAGCATGCATGGTGATCGACCGTGCCTCTTGAATCAGCTACATGATGCAGTGAGTGAGTGAGGGAGGGATGGGTTGGACGAACTTGGATTCACTGCCTTGAGGGGCCGCAGAAATTAAAACTGGCTGCTAGCATTATCGTCACCTTCCACTCACTCACCTGTGGCAGGCAGGCAGCAGGTGCTCCAGCGGGATGCGGCAGCCGCACAACCGGCAGCACCCGGCTGACCCAGCATCCCATCAGTACCACACACACACCCTGAATTGCCGCCGCCCATCTCACCTGAGGCAGCAGCTGTTCCAACAAATGTGGCAGGCCCACAACGGGCGCAGCGGTATTCAGCAGCGGCATCATCACGCACGTTACGGGCAGGTCCGGTCCGGCTTCCCCTAGGTGTTATACACACCCCGCACACAATGTTCCTTCCTCCCCTGCAGCTTTGGCTCGCTCCGGGTGCGGTGCACAGAGGGTGAGCTCTCGCAACGGCAGCACCCCCAGCAGCACCCCCAGCAGCACCCCCAGCAGCACCCCCAGCAGCAGCACCACAGGCAGATACCCCATCCCATCGATACCATGCCACACACCCTGACTCAAAACTCTCCCTCCCATCAGCCCTGGTTTCCGCTCACCTGTGGCAGCAGCTGCTCCAGCAGGTGAGGCAGCCCCACCACCGGCGAGGCAGTATTCAGCGGCATCATCACCGGCAGATCCGGCTTCCCTTCAGTATTATACACCCCACAAATGATATTCCGCCCCTGCAGCTTCGGCTCGCTCTGCGTGCGGTGCACAAATGGCGAGCTCTCACAGCGGCACGACCCCGGCTTGACCCGGCGGAGAAGGCAGAGGTGTGCGGAGGCGGGCTCGTCGCAGCGCATGAGCTTCCAGGGCGCGTGCCACGCCATGCCCTCCTGGCTGGACCACGAGCCGTGCACGTGGGACAGGTGGATGTTGGCAAACACCTCCCAGCTGCTGCGCTTGTTCAAAGACCAGAAGTTGCCCGCTTTTTCTGGGAGAAGGTTCTGGTCCTGGGACGGGAGAGGGGGGAGGAAGGTGGTGAGGAGCCGTGCACGTGGGAGAGGTGGATGTTGGCGAACAACACCTCCCAGCTGCTGTGCTTGTTGAGCGACCAGAAGTTGCCCGCCTTCTCTGATAGGAGGTTCTAGTCCTGGGATGGGAAGGGGGATGAGGGGGGGAAGGGGGGAAGGAGGAGAGGAGGAGGGGGCAAGGAGGGGGGAAGATTGGACTCGAATGGAATTGAGTATTGGTCCTGTGCACCTCACTCTCTCACTCCCTTACGCACTTCTTCGGGCTCCCTCTCCTTCCCTTTCTCTCCCTTCTCAGTCCATCTCTCCATCCTATGCCCAATCCCCGTTCCCCAACACCCCCTCCCTCTTCCCCTCCCATTCCCCATCACCCCACCCCCTGCCGCATCACACCGCATCTCAACCCACACCATACCCCTAACCCCATCGCCCCCCACCAACCCCCCCTAAGACTTCGCCTCACGCCCTCTCGCTCACCCCGCGCTGCATGTGGTGGTACGAGTGGTTCACGTGGATGGACGTGAGCGCATCACTGGCGTCGATCACCGGCCGCACCCCCGACGACACTGCCTCGCTCAGCAGCCAGTTGTCGTACCTGGGACACACCATGACGCACAGGGGGGAGAGACGGGCACACAATGGTCTCAGTCCCAGTCCCAGGCTCAGGCTCAGGCTCAGGCTCAGGCTCAGGCTCAGGCTCAGGCTCAGGCTCAGGCTCAGGCTCAGGCTCAGGCTCAGGCTCAAGCTCAAGCTCAGGCTCAAGCTCAGGCTCAAGCTCAAGCTCAAGCTCAGGCTCAAGCTCAAGCTCAGGCTCAAGCTCAAGCTCAGGCACTTCCTGGCACATATGTAGTGCAGCAGTGCTTGCCTCTCACGCGATTCACTCCCCCTCACCTGCCGCGGCCGAAGGTGAACGGCGGGATGGGTTTGGAGGTGAGGCCGATCTGCAGGGGCGGGTTGTTCCACGCCCACAGGTCCAACCCACCATACGTGTGCAACACGCCCTCCTCCCTCGCCCACGCCACCACCTCCGCATCACTGACCTTCCGCCCGTCCGCCCGCGTCAGCGTCGGAACCCACCCCACGCCCCCCCCGTCCTCCTCCTCCCCTCCTTCCCCCCCCGCCGGCCCTGCGCCCTCCTCCCCGCCCTCCCCTTCCGCCTTATCAGCTGCTCGTAAGGAGGAAGAGGAGGGCTTGTGGAAGGTGAAGGGGTTGGAGGAGACGTCCCAGCGCATGGCAGTGAGGAGGAAGTACGGGAAGCGAGCCGCTGCCTTGCGCAGAGCCAGCGGAAAGTCCTTGAGGAGAATAATATCCGCGTTGATCAGAACCGACACGCTCATCACCCCGCCATCCCCCGCCGCCCCTCCCGCGCCCATGCCACTCCCCGCTCCCCCGCGCCCGCCGCCCCCCCTCCCTCCCGCCCCGCGCCCATCGTCAAACCGTCTGTTCAGACCCGGGCCTTCGACTAGACCGCGGGCGACCATGGATTGGAACATGGGTGTGCCCATGAAGTTCCCATCCACCTGCTCCACCCACACGCGCCCCTCCGGGAACTGCGCTGCAAACGACGTCAGAACCGCGTCAGACGGATCCCCGAATAGCACTACGCTCACCGCCACTGTTGGCGATTCTAGCCTGAGCCAGGAGAGAATCGCTTGCTGCTGCAGGCTGCCTGATGTGAGCTCTTCGGGTTGGGGTTTTGGGGCGGAGAAGAAGGTGAGAGAGAGCGGGCGTTGGAGGGACGCGTCTAGCGCGGCGCCCGCGGCGGCGGCGGAGCGGAACTGCGAGGCGCGCGCGGAAGCGGAGCTCGACCATTCGCCGCCGTCCCACGCGCTATCCGCGGCGAGCCTCTCCGCGGATTGCTTGAACGCCGCCTGCTGCGCCGCCCATTCCGCCTCCGCGCTCCTGGTTTCGGAGCCCGTCCCCGTACCTGCTCCCGCGCCTGCGCTTTTCCCCCCTCCGCCCCAGGAGAAAACCCCCCACCTGCTGCTGCTTCCCCCGCGCCCTTCCGCGGCTGGTTCTACGCCGCTTCCTGCGCTTACTCCCCCGCCCACCTCCGCTCCTTCTGAGGCCCCCCATTCTAGATCTTCCCGCCGTGCAATCTCCCCCAGTGCGTCCCCGTCTTCTCCGCCGGGTCTCACGGCGGCTCTGGGGGCGCCGTTGGCGGCCCAGCCGCCGCTATTTACGGTTGGGAGCGCCGCCATGTACACCATAACAAGCGCAACCGCGACGAAGATAAGCGCAAAGAACGCGCGCCCGCTGCTGCGGGAAGTGACGCTCCGCGCGAGTCCGACTGCAGAGGGGGAGCGCGGCTGCGGAAACCCGCTGCCGAAACCGCCGGCGCTGCCGCTTCTGGTGGGGGAACCGCCAAACGCGGAATCAATGCTGCCAGTGCTGCTGTTGCCGTGGGATGATCCTGTATACACGCGGCGGGGGCGCGAGGGGTTGGCGGAGATCCAGGAGGCGGGTCCGCGGCAGCCGGGGGAAGGGCCTGGGGGGATGCTGGCGGAGGAACGAGGGGAGGAAGCTCGCGCGGCCGCCATTGATACAGATAAGTAGGGACCCACGGAGAGCGTGGGGGGAAAAGCGAGGCAGTGCGAAAGAAGAAATCAACAGGGGCAGAGAAATCGGGATATATTTGTGTCCCTTCGAGAATTCTTAAAATTGGCAATTTGGATAGGAAGTTGAGCAGCGGGAGTCGAGCGGATGCGATCAGAGCAGTGAAGAGTCCTCCAGTGCGCGTTTCCTTGGGGCAACGAATGCATGGGCATTTGACGACGCTATCCGGCTCAATTGGTCAGACAAACGACTTGAAGAACAACGGCTTGTCCAATAACAAATGGTCAGTCTCGGCTCATTAAGGGGAATCATGGCTTCTATGACTTCTGGAGGGTTTTTTATCGTCCTAAGACAAAGTCGAGCATGGCAAGCCCAACGTAGCGTGAGTAGTGACCCAGCCAAGGCTGCAGCGGCGTCAAGTTATCGATCGAATAATGGATGCCTTGCAGCTGAAGAACAAAATTGGCAAGAAGTGAAAGCGGAGTGGACATTACATATCATGTTGTTGCATCAGGCTTCTGTACCCGAGTGTGGGGTGGACCTTTTGCATTTGGTAGGTAAGAGCGTGTCATACTAGGTTCACTTTCCGTTAAATGTAAGCGGTTGACCATGATGTTGTGTACTCAAGAGAGGTTTGTTCGCTTTTACCGCTTTAAACCGTTATTTACCATCCTGAACAGTGACAGATGAGCTGTAAACGAGTTCGCGTGTCGTGTGGCGTGTCGTTGCGTTGGTGCTGGAGTTTGAGAAGCTGGTTGATTGTGTCGGGCAGTTCGCTCTGATGTTCGTGATTCAAAAACGTGAAGCAAACAAGCCGCTCTAAAGCGCACACCATCTTACTAAAACCCTTACAAATGAACAGAGGTGTACAAACATGATCAAGGGAGCAAAATGGAGAAATCAGCATGAAAGGTGGGCCACATGACATGCCAGAAGAAACCAGAGAGTAGTCACAACACTCAGGGCAGCCAGGGTGGATCACACAGCAGGAAGTGGGGACCTCCTTTGCACAACGCTTGAGCCCGACTCCTCAAACTCGCTCTTCGAAATCCACATCTGCAGAAAAGCAAAGTGTCAGATCATTTGCCACCAGCACGAAAATAAAAGAATAAGGGCACAGCTGCATACCTGCTTAAAGCCCGCGTCTCATAATTCTGCCCTTTCGACCAAGTGTAATACGGTAGAAAACTGGTAACAGGGTTCCCGTCGCCAAACTACACCTGCGGTTTGCACAGGTTTGGGGGCTGGTTGGGTTTGTGCTTCTCGGCTAGAAATATTGTCGTGACCCAACAAGGGAGGGCCAGCAATCGAACGTGCACCAAACCAAGGTCTGGAAAAGCACCTGACGATACAGAGCGACAAGTTTGTGGTTCATTCGTGCGACACAACCTCGCTATGCGAAAGTCTCCCACAAGGAGACCAACCATATTACTCAAGCAGGGAAATATAGAGACTGCGTTTCACACAGCTTTCCATCTCGCCAGTCAAAATGCCTTCCAAGCGTATTACGCTAGAACAGGGCGACTACCACATCCGTATCGCATAAACTAAAACAAAATTAGGAGACTCGTCAAGTCCGGTGCTTCTGTCGTTCGACCTCCGAGTAGCATTCACCTCTCGCTGTAGGTAAAAGGCGACTCGTAGAACTTGGGCTTCATTCCCGCTGGCCGCGATTGGTACACCAGGCTCCTCACGCACAACATCGGCACAGCGCCTCCTTACATTTATCGTCGCGTGCAACTGCCGCATCGGACTCCGCCTGTTTAGAGGGTGAGCGGGAGAGAATATGACGAACGAGGCAAATAACAACATGCAGAAAAAATGCCTCTCCGTAATTTACATTGTTGTAATGCTTGGTGAGAGTTGAGGGTAGCGCACGAGAAAGAAGGCCTCAATAACCTGGCGCGAGCCACTCGAACACCAACGCATGTACGGCGTCTGCCTGAAATAAAATCCGCACACCTGCGGATTGGAGTGGTGGAGGGATACAGCGGGGAAAGAGCATTGCTGTCATGTTGCTGTGGGATTGAGTTGGTGGGAAAGGTGAGTGCTTATATGTGGCGGCACGGTTGATACAGCAGGGGGAGAGTAGGGCGAATATGCGGAGGTGGGTTGATACAGAAGGGGGGTGTTGAGTGGTGATACGGGGATGGGGGGTTCACACAATGGGAGACGGGTTAGGGGAGCGTCAAAGACGCGATGAGGGAGTGACAGGTAGGGGGGAACCCTGGCGTGATAGCAGTGGGGGAGGAGAGAGCTAGTGGTGGGGAAGGGATAGCTATCCACGGAAAAAGGAAGCGAAAGCGACCCCGCAGGAGGGTGCTTGCAAAGGAGAAGGGTCATGCATGTGCGGGGAGGGGGGGGGGGGGGGGCAGGAAAGTGGAGAGGGGCGGGGAGAGAACTAGACGAGGAAGGGGAGTGATTTCGACGGGGGAAGGGGAGGGCGTGCATGGGGGGACACTGGCAGGAAGGGGGATGAGGGGTCGCAGGGAGGGGGATGGGGGCGAGGCGGGAATCTGATGGGGGAAAGCAGGGCAGGGGATGGGGGGAAGCAGGGGTGGGGATGGGGGGAAGCAGGGAAGGGGAGGGGGGGAAGCAGGGAAGGGGATGGGGGGAAGCAGGGAAGGGGAGGGGGGGAAGCAGGACAGCAGGGCAGGGGACATGGGGAAGGTGGGGAGGGGACATGGGGAAGCAGGGAAGGGGAGGGGGGGAAGCAGAAAACCGGATGGGGGGAAGCAGGGCTTGGGATAAGGGGAAAGAACGAAGAGGATGGGGGGACGCAGGGAGGGGGTTGGGGGGAAGCAGGGCAGGGGATGGGGGGAAGCAGGGCACGGGATGGGGGGAAGCAGGGAAGGGGGATGGGGGGAAGCAGGGAAGGGGGATGAGGGGTCGCAGGGAGGGGGATGGGGGCGAGGCGGGAATCTGATGGGGGGAAGCAGGGGTGGGGATGGGGGGAAGCAGGGAAGGGGAGGGGGGGAAGCAGGGAAGGGGATGGGGGGAAGCAGAAAACCGGATTGGGGAAAGAAGAAAACCGGATGGGGGGAAGCAGAAAACCGGATGGGGGGAAGCAGATGGGAAGGGAGGCGGGAGGGAAGGCGAAGGCGACGAGCAGTGGATGGCAGGGCGACGGGGAAAGCGAGGGCGACGGGGGGAGAGAATTGACGGGGGACGAAGGGAGGGCGACGAGCAGAACGGACGGCGACGGGAAGGTGCGCGGGCGACGGGAAGGGAGGGCGACGGGAAGGGAGGGCGACGGGAAGGGAGGGCGACGGGAAGGGAGGGCGACGGGAAGGGAGGGCGACGGGAAGGGAGGGCGACGGGAAGGGAGGGCGACGGGAAGGGAGGGCGACGGTAAGGGAGGGCGACGGGAAGGGAGGGCGACGGTAAGGGAGGGCGACGGGAAGGGAGGGCGACGGTAAGGGAGGGCGACGGGAAGGGAGGGCGACGGTAAGGGAGGGCGACGGTAATGGGGGTGCGATCTTGTGAGGGGCAATGTGCGGGGAGAAGTGGGCGAGGCGTGTATGATAGGATGTGCGCCTCGCGGGCATTGTTTTACTCACGCGCACATTCATCGGCGCCTCGCTCCGCCCCGGCAGCGGTGGCTTCCGCCATTCCACGCGCGACGTGCAGATTATCCGTCGTAGCTAGATGTGTGAGGAGCTTTTCAGGAAGGAAGGTGCAACTATGACGGTGTGTTTCGGTAAAACGGGAAGGGGCTTGTGTGCTGGAGGAGAATGACAGCTGGTTGAAAATGTGTGTTGTGTTTTCGTCGTCTGTGTTTGTCGCAGGGAGTGTCAAACCCCACGAACCTGTTTTCACTGGTTTGGGTGTGACAACAGGTTAGGGCGGTAGGTTTGGTGTTGATGGTACAGTGTTCTGGTTTCGCCCGAAGTCACCCCTCCTCTCGTGCAAAACTTCGCTGCTCGTCCACCAATCCCAGGCGACAACACCCAACCAAGTGTAATACGTTAGAAAATCTGAGACGCGGGTTTTAAAGGAACTGTGGGACGCAAGCATGTCGCCACCAATCCAGGCACTGAGTTCCCCCTGGTGTGCGGGCTTAGAAACATTGACCTCTGTGCCAGCGAGCTGAGAGATTCCCTTTGTCAAGCGCTCAGTAATTCCAGCGAACGCAGAATTACCACCGGCGACCACAATGTTGCTGTATAGCTGGTTCCTAATGTCCGCATCACACGCCATAATGGAGTTGTAGCACATCTCGTGAATACCCGAGCCTTCCACGCCAGCCAACGAGGGGTTAAACAGAGCTTCTGGGCACCTAAAGCGCTCAGAAGCAAGAGTAACCACCGTGCCATCTGGAAGCTCGTAGCTTTCTTCCAGAGACGATGGCGAGCTCTCCGCAGTCGCCATCTCCTGCTCGAAATCAACGGCAACGTATGCGAGCTTCTCCTTGAGATCGGCCACAATGTTCCTGTCAGAAGGGTTGTTAATGGTAATACCCCTCTCTTTCAGAATCTTATCCATGTGGTTAGTCAATTCCCGACCACCAACATCCAAACTGAGGACTGCATGTGGCAGAGCCAGACCTTCGTATACGGGGACGGCGCGGGACACGCCATAACCGGAGTCCAGAACAAGACCTGGAAATGAAAGAAGAGAATGGCATCAGAGACAAGTGCGAAAGCAGCTGTGCGAAAAAAGGGGAAAAATATCCAACTTACCCGTGGTATGACCGCTGGAGTACAGGGCAAGCACAGCCTGAATGGCGACATACATCGCCGGCACATTGAAAGTCTCAAACATAATTTCCGCCATCTTTTCGCGGCTTTCCTCAGGGTTTGTAGGCGCTTCAGTCAAGAGCACTGGATGATCGTCGGGCTGCTTATAAAGCTCCTTCTTGAAGGTGTGGTTCCAGAGCTTTTCCATGTCATCCCAATCAGTCACAATACCTGGAAAGTAAAGCTACAAACGTCATAAAGCGAGCAGAAAAGAGTAATCGTGCGTCATTTAGCAGCCTCGTTAAACTCACCGCGCTCAATAGGATACTTGAGCACCAAAATTCCAGAATTGTGCTGTGCTTGTTCGCCGACATCAAGGTCTTCATCCCCCATCCCTGACATCTCGCGCTGCTGCTTAGGACGACCAATAATGGTAGGAAACGTACAACGCGGCGCCCCCTCCTGTCCGGAAAATCCGGCCTGAAAAGGAAGTCAGGATAATTGATTTAGACGGAGGCCACAAGCATGTTAAATCGACAATGTGGCAATTCCACTCACCTTCATCACACCAGATCCGTTGTCGATCACAATAGTCGACGCATCGTCGGCCATATTGGTCGCTTTTCACTGTGGTAAACCAAGTCCAACGGGAAACAAAGATCAGGAACTGCAAATCCTCAAAAGCTCCTCACATAAACTTAGAGAAGCATGCTTCTAGGATCTACTTCGAATAGTGATGGACAAGCTCACCAGGTATGATGAGGTGGAGGAAGCTCGGGATAAGCGGGCTCCGAAGGTAATGAAGGCGGAGACTAATATGAACTCCTTTCATCTCTTCATAACCAACGCAGTCATTCCTTCGGCAGCACTACCCAGGCCCACCGACTCCAGGCCAACGGGCAGGCAGCTAATCCAGCACAGGCCTGGAGGAGCCCCTTGCTTCTGATTCTGGACCTTGCTCGCCGGACGACACGTCGGTCAAGAATCCCGGACCTCCGAATTCTGGATAACATTGGGCTGCCGACCAGGCTCGGGCGAAGGCGCTGGATGGAAGGGAAGAATCATAGGGTCATCGGACAAGAGCCCCTTCAATCATGGGGACAAGATGAATGACTGTTGGAACCTGTCCAATTACCTGACCAACTATTTTGTCACTTAGAACGACGGCCCGCCCAGCACACCACAGTCATTGCCAATATGCGAAAATAGAGGTAATGACAAACCGCCCTGATATCGCGTTTCCGATTCCTTTGGGCAGCGGATCTTACCGCGCCTCGTTCTGCGCTTGACCTCGATTCCTTCAGGGCGGATTTTTGAGCCAGTTTAGCATTACACTTCAATTGTGGTTTTCTTTTGCGACGGAGTGTTTCTGCCCGACGTGTCCGTTACATTCTAGGCTGAGTTTTACCGTTACGCCACAATCATGATTGACCCCTGATATTCCAGAAGAGGAAAAAAAAAAAAAAAAAAAAACCCTCCCGGATGCCAAGCCCTTAAGCATCAACCCTAAAAACCTTGCATCATGGTGTTTAAGGTTGATGCCCCCCATATGGCATGCCATCCAATAGAGGGTTTAAATTTACTTATCCTGGGCGTATGCTTGCAACGACGAGACAAATTGACGTGGGTTATCATGTAAACAGAAAACAATATCTATGTTTGGACTAAAAAAACACGTAAATTTCTTTCCACCGAGATTTCGCAGCTGCCCTCCTTCATGTAAATGTATCGTAATGCACAAATTGCAAAAAAACCCTGCCCCACAAAATCAAGGTCGAGCGCGAAACGGGGCGCGATAAGAACAACCGCCCTAAAGGAATTAAAAACATGACATCAGGGCGGTTCATCATTCCCTTGCGAAAATTGTTTTGAGGCGGAATGAATATCTCAACGGATCACGGGACGATGGTCGACGACTCTGCGTCGTAAGCCGTGACAGCCGAGACCTATGCACCAGCCCGTGGTGCTCCCCGGCCCCCTGCTCACCAGCCCCCTACTCTTGGCGTTTCCGCGCCTCATCCTAGCCGTGCCTCCCAAGCCAGGCATAGGACAGAAGGCGCTGATCATAGAGCGGTTGGGAGCGTTCTGGGAGGGGAGGTGGCGGGAGCTGTTCGACTCTGCCATGGTGGCGGCGCGGCCAGCAGTGCGCCCACTTGCCTACACTTGCTCTGACCAGGACCCGGATGCCATCCGCCTGTCACGGTGCCGATCTCGGTGTAAAGTGGGAGAGTGGAGCCGTGGATTGGCTTGCCTTACGGCAGGGGAGTTGGCCCGACCGTCTGAGGCCATGGTGCAGTCGCTGCGAGAGAAGCACCCTGCTAGCACTAGCGAGGTACCACAGTGGGTCCGTGATTTCACCGTCGATGCTCCTCAGCGGCCTCCACTCACGACCGACATCCTGGCCAGAGCTATCCATACAGCCGCTCGCGCTTCAGCAGCAGGGCCATCGGGGTGGGTCACAGAGCATCTGCGCGACACCTTCCTCACTGAACCTTCCTGCCTTTCCCACCTGTTGGAGGTGTTCAACCAATGGGTGGCGGGACAGGTCCCCGAGCGGGCTCGGCCCTGGCTCGCCGCATCCAACCTAGTTGGGCTTTCCAAGCCTAACGGCGACGTCCGGCCGGTCGCGATTGGGGAGGTGCTTCCGCGTATCCTTGCTCGAGCTCTCTGCATCTCGCTCCGCCCTACGATGGCTTCCTACTTTCTGCCGTGCAACCAGCTGGGAGCGGGCACCAGGGCCGGGGTGGAGATTCTTACCCATTCTTTCCGGTCAGCGCTGGCTACTCACCCCGACTGGTGCGCGCTGCAGATAGACGTCGCGAACGCCTTCAATTCGTTTCACCGTCATGCGATGTTTGAGGGGCTGCGGGAGTCGCCTTTCTCAGGGTTGATCCCATTCTTGCGTGTTTTCTACGGGACACCTAGCGACCTGTACCTCCGAGCGGGCCCTTTTGTACAGAGCCTTGAGTCAGCACGAGGATCGCGGCAGGGGGACCCGCTCGGCCCTTTTCTTTTCGCGTTCACGCAGCAGCAGGTGATGGAGTCGGTGACTAGAGAGTTCAGGGACCTACTTTTCCTGAGCTATGTAGACGATACCTATATCCTGGGACCAGCAGCTAGGATTCTAGAGGCGTTTGGGGTGCTGCGAGAGCGGTTGGAATGGGTGGGGCTGGAGGTGCAGCCGCACAAGTGCCGGTTTTGGGAGCGTGAGGGCGGGGATGTGGAGCGGGCACTGCCATTGGGGATGCAGCGGGTGGAGGAGGGTCTCACTGTGGTGGGCGTGCCTATTGGGGAGGAGGATTGGGAGGTGACCCGGTTACGGGAGCGGCTTCGACAGTTGCAGGCGCCATTGCCATGGCTCCCCCTGCTCGACCACCCCCAGATGGCTTCACATCTCCTCGCCATTGCAGTTTCAGCACGGCCGATGTACCTGGCCCGGACTATGCCGCCGCGTCCGGAGGTGGTGGAGGCCTTCAGGGATTGGGATAGCTGTCTGGAGGATTGCTTTGAGCAGCTTTTCCCACCTGGCACTTGGGAGCAGGACCCCGACCGGTCTAGGCGCGCACGCATGCAGCTGCATCTCCCTGTGCGACTCGGAGGGTTTGGGATCCGGGCGGCAGCCTCTTTGAGTCCGCTGTCCTATGTTTGTGGGTGGGCCCAGGCCGCGCGTGATATTGCACAGTTGGGGGTGGCGGGCGAGGAGGCGATGTTTGCGGAGTACCTCACCACTTCGGCAGGGGCGGAGTTTCTTGACCCGTGGTTTGCCAAGGCTCTTGTGCAGCTGCCTGCGACTATACGCCAGGAGATGCCGGGCTTACCTCTGTGCGTAGCGGCCCCTCCTCTTCGGCTTTTCCAGGCGCGGCAGCGGCTGTTGGCGGTAGAGGAGCTCCAGGCACTGCGCCGCTCGGCTCGTGACGATGCCACCCTGGCCCGTTTCACATCCCTTCAGGGCCCGGGGGCTGGTGCATGGGTTTCGGCGGTTCCGGCTCACTCATATCTCACATTCACTGCGGCGGAGTGGGGCATTGCTGCTGCTATACGGCTCGGGCTCCCAATTCAGCAGCTGCAGGTGGCGGGGAGGTGTGTTTGTGGTACAACGTATGTTGACCCAGCAGACCCGCATCATGCCCTGAGATGCAAGCACCAGCACGGTCCATCTCGGGTGCATGATGAGGTGAAGTTTGCGGTGGCGAAGATTTCTAAGGCGTCAGGGGGGGTGGTGACGATGGAGGATAGTGTGGTGCTGCCGGGGAAGCGGGTTGACGTAGCGGTGCGACGACCAATGGCCGGGGAGGCTCATGCTCTAGAGATCAGCGTCGCGGACCCGCTGTCGCTGTCTCCATCTCTGCTAGGGCAGTGCGGGCGTTCTATAGGTGTGGCGGCAAGGGAGTGGGAGCGTCGCAAAACGAGTGATTACGCGCCTCTGCTTGCACGCAACCGGGGCGTGCAGTTCACCCCTTTGATAGTAGAGACGTGGGGGTGTCTCGGCGGTCGTTTCCGGCGGTGGCTTCGTCAGCAGGGGGACGCGCACGTAGGGTTAGCTGTGTCACGGGGGGCTTGCCGGGAGGATGACACTTCGTTTTCGGCTTATCTTTTGGGGTCTCTGAAGGCGCTCATCGGGGTGGCGTTACAACGGGCGCAAGCTCGTGTCATCCTGCTTCGGGCGGCGTCTTCCATGGGGGGGATGAATGTGGATTTGGTGGACCAGGAGAGGGACGACGTCGAGGTGGAGGGCGGGGCTCTTTGGGTGGAGGCCCCGTACATGGTGGATGCACAGATTTGATTGAGGTTGGGTGAAATGGGGAGCGGGATGGGGTATCTTGATGGGGCGCCTTGACTGGGTGTTTTGATTGGGTATCTTGATGGGGTTTTTATGTGTGTTGCATTTGGGTTTGATTTTTTGGAGTGTATGTGAGTGCAAACACGTCAGGCTGCATCAGATTTATTAATATTTAGGGTATTGGGCTCACGCAATCAAAGCCCGTGGTCCCTGAAGGGATGTGAAACTGGCTAGGGTGGCGTCGTCACGAGCCAAACGGCGAAGAGCCTCAAGCTCCTCCACAGCCAACTCCCGCCCCGCCTGGAAAAGACGAACGG